AGTCCTGCGTATGCTGCTCGAGCCTTGGAAATGCGGGCGATTATCTCCTTACCTGCAATACCGTCATGGATCACGCAACTACGTAAGTAGGAAAAGTAATCCACCAAAACTAAATCCTGACCATTCAGTGTCAGAGTAGGAGTAGACGAAACCCAGTCCTGCAGCAGCAGTTGACACTTTGAAGGTGCAAAGCACATACCGAATGTGACCATTGCACTGGTTAATCTATCAAGTGCACTTTGCGCGTCCTCCATACATCCGAACAGACAGACGATGTCATCGGCGTACTCCAAATCGCATAGCTTTTGTCCAGCTGTCCGTTCAATACCTACGTTTTGGGGTCCCCTTAGTGCGCTCTCCAGTATTTCGTCTACGACGAAATTAAACAGGAACGGCGAGAGAGGGCACCCTTGACGAACGCCGCTGCTTGTGACGAATAGCCTACTAAGTTCGTTGTATACCGTTATACGACAGGAGCTATGTGAGTACAGTGACCTCAGTAGGTTAACGTACTTCTGGGGACTTCCTTCTCGAAGAAAGGAGCCCATCAGAGCTTCGCAGTCAGCTGAGTCGAAGGCTCCTTTTAAGTCAAGGAACACTGCGATCGTTGGTCAACGGTGAGTGTGACGCGGTCCAACGAACTGATGCAACGTAAAAATGTGATCAAAACATACACGACTAGGCCGGAATCCGGCTTGCAGTTCACGGATGTTGGTCTCTCTTAAAGGCGTCAGACATCGAAGTATAACCGAAGCTAGCACTTTGGTGACAATCGGGATCAAACTGATCCTGCGGTGGTTTACGCATCCGTCGCGAGATCGTTTCTTGAAAGTGGGAACGATCAGTGATTCGCCCCAAGATGAAGGAATGTGCTCTCGCATCCAATTATTGCGCAGTACCGTAGTAATGGAGGTTACGAGGTAATCACCTATCTTGAAGAGAGTGGGAGGGAGCTCATCCGATCCTGCTGTCTTTCCTGGCTTCAGAGCTTGAATGCAAGACCAAACTTTTGCTTCTGCTGGAGGATCGCATATCACTGCCCACGGAGCTTCAGTTGCAGATGAAGAAGCCCGGTTAGCACTAGGCCAGCTGAACTGTTCGCTGAAGTATCCTGCCCAGCGATCGAATCGTTGATCCCAATTGTGAATTGCTTATCCTCTCTTATCGCAAACCGTTTCACTAATGGGAGTTCGCCAACCTGCCGTATTGTGTCAGTCGGAACAGTGTTTGATTATTCCCTGATGCAACTGCTACTTCCATTTAACTAGCTATTGTTGTCCACCAGTTCTCACGGTCCTTCTTGAGACTCTTCGTGAGCTGGCGTTGTAGATGCCACCATTTTGATCCTGGCAGGTCGGGATTTGTCGTTTTTGCTCCATCAAAACTACTGATTCCTGAGATATCCAATGCTTCCGACGAGTTCGAGGCCCACAGACCCACAAGCAACATTCGCTGTGGAATGCATTTCTCGCCTAATCTGATCCCACTGCTCATCTTCATCACCCTTTTGAGGTGCGCTTAGCTCGCACTAACTCTGATTCATGGCACACACGAACAGATAGTCGATGATGAGCTGTGCGAGTTTGCTGAGTTCTTCGCAGACCAGTCAGTCGGAGAGTGAACTGCAGCAAAACCAATGGGTGGTCGGAGTTAACGCAGGTGGTTCGAAAGGACCTGCAATTTTGCAGAGTCACGCCAACGGTAGCTTACTGCCATGTGGTCGATTTGGGTCAACGTACCAGTTGAACTGGAGCGCCACGTTGCCGTCCGTCGAGAGCTGTATCGGAAGTTGGTGCTTGATAGGAACAGATGATGCTCTGCGCACAACTGAAGAAGTCGATCGCCGTTATCTGTTCGTTGGCAGGGTAGAGCACAGGTACCGCCTAGGCAAGCTTCTGATGCGCTCAGTTCTCCAACTTGCGCGTTGAAGTCACCTGCAAGTACAACCATGTGGGATCTTCGACTCCTCCAAATGAGATCGGTGAGTTTATCGTAGAAAGCGTCCGTTTGAGTATCAGAACTCCAATTGGTCAGTGCATATTCTGATACGATTAACAAACAGCTTTTGGTGTTGCTTCCTTTCTGGAGGCTGATTAAGCCCTGGAGACGCACTGCACATAAACGACCGTGGACGGGGATCCAATCGATAAGAGAAGACTCCGCCTTGTTTTTAAGTAAAATACCTACCCCGCGCTGACCCACTGAGCGAGCTTCGTCGTCGCCTAATGTAAGAACTTATCTCGAAGACAAATGTGGCGCTTAAGTGGCTTATAGTAGTAGGACGCTGGATAGGAGTCTCCGACACGCAGCAAACTTCAATCCTCAAGGATTCCATTGTACGCGCCAGACAAGCTTGTTGACCAAACTGCATCACTGTCCTTACGTTGAAGGCCCCCAGATTCAGTGATTCATGAGGCTTCAGAATCTGCAATTTGTTTCGTGGTTTATTACTTAGTGCTATTTGGCAACGACCTGGAGCATCGACCTTGTTTTGGCAGACCTACCATCCATGTTTCTCTCGATTTGAAAGTGGCTTTCGACTGCGTCGACCGCTCTAAACTCTGGCACTGCTTTTTTTTGAAGGGTTTCCCGAGAAGTTGAATTCTATATTACAATCCCTCTATATTAATAGCCGAATTTCAGTTCGGGCTTACGGCACTTTTCCGCCCGAGTTCACCACGGAAAGTGGTGTTCGACAGGGCTGCTCCCTCTCGCCTTTTCTATTCAACTATGCTATGGAAACCGCTCTATCTTCGTGCGAGAATAGCGGCATAGGATCACTTCCAGGTGGCAGACTGTCCGATCTGAAGTATGCAGACAATAGTTTGCTACTAAGCGGAGATGCAATTAAGTTGCAAACTTCTCTGAGTACCTTCACTGCCAGTGTGACCATGTTCGGTATGCGTTTTGCAGCTTCAAAGTGCAAAATATTATTCTCTAAAAGACTGGGTTGGTCTAGCACCTGGACTCACTCTAACCGGGAGAGTCGTAGAAAAGGATTAGTTTTGTTATTTGAGCGGCTACATTTCACTGGGTGGACGCATCACGGATGAAGTGTCAGCTGGCATACAGAAGGCTCGGTTGGCATTTGCCAATTTGAGACATTTGCGGCGCCGTAGCATCATCCGGTTTTCTGTGAGGGGTCGAGTGTATGTTGCCGTAGTTCGGTCACTTCTTAATCCTAGGCATTAAGGAAGCAGAATAGATAAGCTGTCGGTGTTTCAACACCGCTGTCTACGTCGCATTGCACGAGTCTAGTGGAGAAACCGGACAAGTAATGTTAAGTTAGCCGTAGAGTTTTAGGTAATTGCGGTCTTTCATTGGAACAGGTAGTCGACCTCCATAGATTGCGTTGTTTGGGGTATGTGTTGCGCATATCACCCGATAGATCGCCACGGCAAGCGATGTTTCCCGAGGCAGGTAGTGAGTGGGAAAATGTCAAGGGTGGTCAACCTAACACTCAGTATGAGGGTATGAAAACTCTAACCATGAGTATGGGTCCCGTTAGGCTCCCTGACTGGGGACCCCGATATGATGGTCACCGATGGTTAGAGACACTCAGTGATACGGCTGAGTGTCGTAAACAGTGGCGTTCGTATATCTACCCAATTTCATTGCAACATTAGTCCACTGAACATCTCAATGTTCTTTTCCATCTGCTTTAAACCTCCCTGTATTTCCTCTACCGTTTATCCAAGCGAGGGGGGGGGGGAGACAGCAACATAAACCGGCGCATGAAAGTGCCTGGTTAATGGTTGTACAAACTGCCGATGTTTACCTAGTTATGCACGGGTCGGATTGAACAAGCGTGTAAGTAATTCGGAGGTAAGGTGTAGCGTACTTGGTAATGATTCGATAGAGAATTCATTGTCTCAAGGTGTTAGGTCACCAACTTGTGACCTGTGAGTCTCTCGTTCGAACCGCTCCAGGGCCGTCCGTCTTCCCAGTCAGTCTTCCTGAATGTTGACCGTACATTTGTATATTCAATAAATAAAAAAGTAAAAAGACATTATAGACATTATTCGCTGGTTATGACACGTATTGTATGCCCAACCATTGTCTACCGCATCGCGCCTCATTCGCAGTCACGGCTCCAGGTTGAAAAAAACCACGCGGAGGTCAACAGGTGACTTGGAAACGAGGCTCGAAGAAATACACAGAGCGATTAGGTCTCCCATATTCCAGGTTGGAGTCCAAAAGACTGCAACTGGTTGGTTGGAGACATTCAGGAATAGGGCAGCGAACCGATAACTGTAGCGATTTTGTTGTCGTTTCTCATCAAGTCAGAATGTTTGAAAATGTATGTATGCACACTTAGAATATGTACTCGGTGTTGCACCTTATAGTGCAAAAAGCTTGTTTAAGGCTGGCAGGAGGCTGTGCCTGCACACACCTACTGTGATCAGCTGGAAGTAGTTGAGAGCTTCAAGTACCCCGGGAGCTTGATCGCAGCTGGTGGGAGTGTTGAGGAGTAGATTAC